TTTGTTTTTTTACTTCAAAATAAGATATGTGCAGTGTGCCTAGGAATTTGTTCATAGTTTTTTTTTTTTTTAAACTGTAGTCCGGCCCTCCAACGGGTCTGAGGGACAGTGAACTGGCCCCCTGTTTAAAAAGTTTGAGGACCCCTGGTTTAGACTTTGTGCATCTCCCACAAGGGGCATGATGGTTCTGGGTGCCCTTGGACCCTCAGCCCCTTTGAGAATGGAACAGCACCCTGGAAGGATTCTGCCCCCCTTGCCTCAAAATGTGCTTGAGGGCCCCTGGTGCCCAAAGACAGGCCTTGGAGCCTCTGTGCTACACCCCCAGGAGGTACCTGCCCCTCTGAGCTCTCCAAATGTGGCGGAGGACGGCAGCTGTGGGGTGGGCACGGCCCTTGGAGAAATGGCCTCTAAGGAGAGCTTGGGCTACCCCAGGTGTGTGAAGAGAGATGGAATTTCCCGACTGTCCCAGCCCTCTATCAGAAACTGTCAACCCATCACCGGCTGCGGGGGGCTGGACCATGGACTGCATGGGTCTGTGTGTGTGAGGGGGTGGGGGGAGAAGCAGGTCTTCCTTAAAGGGGCCCAGCATTGAGCCGGTACAGAAGATGGTGAACCGACGTCAAGCAAGTGAGTTTCAGGCAGGGCAGAAAATGTTCCCTCCCCTCCCCGCCCCATGTAACAGGGTCTCCCAGGTGTCCAAGATAAGAAATGGTCACATCTCCAGGCAGGGTTTGCGACAATCCCTGCCCAGCCTCCAGGCGCCGCCGGGCATCAGCCCACTATTTGCATCTGTTTCCTCCCAATTATAAACGCAGCACTTGATGGGAACGTGGAAGGCAGCCGGGCAAGATCCCGCCTGGAGGATCCATCGGGGTGGGGCCGGGGGAGGGGTGGGGTGGGTAGGGTGGCGATGGGGGAGGGGTGGGGTGGGTAGGGCCAGGGGCGGCAGCCAGCAGTTTCTGGTCCCTCCCTCGGCTCCTGTTGGCGGGTGGGGTTGGGGGTGAGCTGTAGAGGTATCTTGAAAAGGCGTTTTGTGTCGGACCCCTAATCAAAGTTAAGCTGCTCTGGGGTGGAGTCGGGCGAAATTCTTGCCAAATGCAACAGGGGCTCTCTGGGGCAAAGGGGTTCCCACAGATGAACTCTTGGATCCTCAAAAGAATTGGCCTCGGCCCCCCCACCCCTACCCGCGGGTCGCTTCTCGGGATGGGTAGTGGCCGAACCCCTGGGGCCCCTCCTGCCCCTAGGGCCGCCGCTGGCTCGCGCGCACTCCGCACGCACGCACGCACGCTGCGCCCCGGCGCACACGGACTCGCGTCCCGGGCTCCCCGCGGGCCCCCCACAGCACGTGCGCACCCCGTGTGGCCGCCGGGAGCTCGGCTGCACCGACGGCGCGCGCGCGCGCAGACACACGGCGCACGGGGCGTAGCGAGTCGCACGGGGGGCGCGGCCCCTTTATTGGCTTCAGGAGGCGGAAAACTTCCTCAGCGCGACGACCACGAGCGCCAGCACCACGCAGGTGGCCAGCAGGGCAGCGATGACAATGGCGGCGATGGCGCCGGGTCCCAGCGCGCCTGGAGGATGGAGGACCGGTCACCACGGCCGCGCCGCCTGGGATCCACCTCCAACCCCGCCTCCCCGCGCCGTTGGCGACGCCCCGCCCTCTCCCCCGAGGCCACGCCCTCTCCCCCGAGGCCCCGCCCTCTTCCCAGGGCCCCGCCCCATACAGGAGCCCCGCCTACCGCCGCCCTGGTCCAGCTGCTCCTGTGCTGTGCTGTCCTCAGGGCCCGGCGCGGCGGTGAAGGCCGGGACGCCGGTGGCCGCGGGCTCCCAGGAGGGGCTCGTGCTCTCCGCGGGGCCTTCTCCCGAGGGCAGCTCGGCGGGCTCGTTCCACAGCGTTGGCGCCGGCTCCTGCGGGCCCCCTGCTGCAAGAGGAAGCAAGGACAGGCGGTGGGACCGGGTCACCAGCTGGGCAGGCGTTGGGCTGTGGGCCTTTCCACCACGGTCCCATGTCACAGATGAGACAGCCAAGGCCGAGAGGCCACCCCACGCCTGCCTGTGCGATGGCCGATGACTGCGGAGGTGTGAGGTCATGCCCCTCCCGGGACTGGGGCACCTCAGCTCTCCCATCTGAACTGGGGATCAGTCAGATAGATCACTCCAACCGGGTTGGAGGAGAAGCCTGGAACCCGGGCCCACCTCCTCCAACTAGCCCGCCCCCAGGAGACAGCATGGCCACAGTAGATGGAAGGAAACCGGAGATAAGTCTTGGGACCCGTGGAAACCTTTGAAGCCCCAGGGACCAGGAGAGCCAGCCCTGCTGCCTTCCCACCCCTCTCCCCCTAATGGGGCAGTGAGAAAACCCATGGAATCAGAGGTTAATAGAACTTGAGGTACCTGGAGCCACGGACAGCAGGACGGCATCCCCAAAAGAGTCACAGGTTGAGAGGAAGTTATAGCAACCCAGCCCCTTGCCCCCACCTCCAACCTAGCACTGTCTCACCCACCCCCATCACTGGTTCTGGTCTGAGAAATCCCACCCGAAACCCTGGGCCCAGCCTCCTTCACTGGCAGCTAGAGGGAGCCCCCAGCAACCTGAGAAGTTCCAGCCACATGGAAGGCTGGCTCCGGGGCTATCCCAGACCACTGACATCCGTTTCGAAGCTGTGACACCTGGTCCCTCTGCCCCAAGCAGGACCCTAGCAGGTGCCAAGGCACGATGTTTTGGCTCCCTCGACCCAGGTACTGTGCATAGAGACTGTTGTTACCCCACTGCTCTCTGCAGTACACCAGGATTAACTAAAGTGGGGGGAAATGCCCTAAGGGTTGTCTTCCTGGGAACCTCCCGGGCCTTTGTGAGTCTAGCAGGCCTGTGGTCCTGGGCCACCAGACCCCTGCCCTCCCCGAGGCCAGACCACCTCTGCTGCAGGGGTGCCTTGCAGGGGATACAGGCCTTCTAGGATTTTCGACCATCGAGACCCACCAGGGTGACTCCTGCAGAAACAGCAACCAAGCCCAAATTCAAGGACTGCTCTTCGCAAGTGAAAAGGTCAAGGGCAACAACGCAATGTCAAGGGATGTTCCCGTGTAGAGACTAAGGAGACATGGCAACCAAGTGCAATGTGTGCCGCTGGGTGGGGCGCAGGGCTGTGAAAGGCATTGTGGGGTGGATGAGTGGACTATCAATAAGGCCATGGCTGAGACATTAGTCCGCACCTGCTGGTTTCCTGGTTTTGTCGACTGACTAGGTCCATAAGAGAATGCCCAGTTCTTGGGTAAATTTAGGGGCAGGTGGGCATGATCTATGCAACTTTCTGCCCCGGGGTTCTGCATTTAGATACTGGGGGGGGGGGGCAGGTCCATAGAGGGTACGTAAAAGGTAGGTACATCGATGTTGGATATCGATGGTAGGTAGGTAGGTAGGTCAGTCAACAGGCAGATGGATGGTAGAGAGTAGAGAGAAACATGGATTGATAAGTGCTAGATACATAGTTGGTTGGATAGGTAGATAATAGATAGTAGGTGTCAGATGCCTTCGAATCAGTTCTGACTCGTAGCTCGGTCCTGGCACCGTCCTCACATCAGTCACTGTGGAGCCCAAGCAGCAGGTAGATGTGCAGGCACATGGATGGTTGATACAATAGACGGTAGATGATGGGTGGATGGACATATGGTGGCAGGTAGAGACATGGTAGGTGATAGCTGCGTGGGTGGACAGATGCTAGAGAGTAGACGTGTGAAGAGATGTGTGAATGACAGGCCAGCAGGCAGAAGAGAGAAAGTCAAATGTGGGAAAAGTTAGCAGCTGGCAGCCGAGGGGAAGTGCCTCCTGGAGTTCACGGATTCTTCCAGCCTTCTTTAAGGTGAAGTGCTTCCATAGCCCGGTTTTTGTTTTTGTTTTTATGGTATTTTATTTATTTATTTTTAATCATTTTATTAGGGGCTCATACGACTCTTATCACAATCCATACATCAATTGTGTAAAGCACATTTGTACATTCATTGCCCTCGTCATTCTCAAAACATTTGCTCTCCACTTAAGCCCCGGCATCAGGTCCTCATTTT